CACAGAGGCTGGCTGCCTGCTGTTCCCACCAGTCACTATTTGGTGGTCTGGCCACCTAGCCCTGTGTGAGGGCCGTCTCTGTGCATCACATGGGGTGCCTAAGCTGGCGCCATGTGGTTATTATCACAAATTAATATTGGGTAATTATTAAGAACACGATTAATAATAACAATTATAGTTGAACAGTGGAGCAAACCATAGCTCCCTGAGAGCTTAAGGAGCTTCCCAACAAACCATTATGAGTTATTCATGAATCATTTCAATTCCTAACTTTAATTTAATGACCAGATTTAATAGTCAGGCACGGCCCCTGCCTGAGGCTGACAAATTCAGTTCCAGCTGCTCAATTGGGATGTGTGTCCCACCTCAGCTCCCTCCATGGTGCGCAGGGAGGGGCCAGGGAGCTGCATAGCCAGGCAGGGTGCAGATTCGACTTGGAGGGGAGGCCTGTCAGTCCTGCCCAGGCCTCTGCACGGGCTGTCTACCTGGGCTCCGGCTGGCTGGTTCTAAGGAGCTGTAGGGGGTGGGGGTGTCTGGTGGAAGGTGGGACTTTCTTCCTCTCCATTTGGGCCCTCACAGGGTTAAGTCAGAGAGGATCCTGGCCCTGAGGAGCTCAGGAGAGCCTGGCTCCCAACAGGTCGGGGAGGCAGTGCGACATTCCAGGCCAACAGGCTGGCCTGTCTGTCTCCTGGCAGTGAGGGAATCCCAGAGGAAGAAACCAAGGTGGGACAGGAGCTTCCTGCTCAGCAGCAGGCCCTGTGTGGCCAACTGCCGTCTGGGCAGCCACTACCCTTAGCTTTGCCCTAGTGCTCCTCTGTTGGAGATAGGCGCTGTACAATCAGAGGAAGGCGATCTCGGAGGAGCAGGAGCAGGCAGGGAAACCTTTGTCCTTCTCCAGGTCTTGGGCATCACAGTGTCTCCACTCAGGACCCCTGGGTCCCTGCGTGTGCCCTGCCCCTTCCTGCCTTTTCACGCCTTCAGCTCAGACACAGCCATCCCCTGCCTGCCCCGGCATTCAGAGGACCCCTCATCCTCACCACACAGGAGCCCAGAGGCTCAGAACACAGCACCCATGCAGCTGGACAGCCACCGTGTCCCCTCGGCCCCTCTCTCTATCTGTCCTTTGGTTTAGCTTCCCGCTGACCCCACTCAGTCCTCTGTGCCTCTCCACAGGCCCCCCGCGCCCCCGCCCACTGCGTGGGGTTGTCCTACCTTGTCCCCCCTTCCGAAGCAGCAGCCCTCGGAGCCTTTCCAAATCAGTGTCTAATTTGGTCTGAGCAAATGTAAGAGGATTAATTATTTAGATCGCAGAATCGGAGGCGTCGCCCTTCATGGCTGCCAATAGCCCCAGGTTCCATCTGGGGGAGGGGCCCTG